TAAGTCCATTTTTGAAAAATGACAAAATATAACTCCTAAAACTGCTAAAACTTGATGCCACTTCTTTTTATTTTTATTTACAGAAGAAGAAGAAGAAGAAGACGTGTCTTCAGAGGTTTTTGTGTCGTTTCTTTCAGTAGTTCTTGGTGCAGCGCCCCCACAGGCGAGTGGGGGAATAGGGTGATTCAACAGGTTGACTCGACTGCACAGTGCAGTGTGAATGCAAACTCACCAGCTCAAATGTAAACAAAAGGTCATGAATATTGGTCATGAATATTGGTCCCGAACCGAACCGAGTCTACCGGACTATCTAGTGTGAAAACGACCTAATATACAGATATTCTGGCAGAAGTGACGCAGGCTGTATAAGAAAATGCTATCCATCTTAGGGTGCATTCACACTAGCTCTGTTTAGTTCGCGTTAATCGAACTCTAGCTCATTTTCCTAGAAAGTCCGGTTCGTTTAGGGAGGTGTGAACGCACCATCGAACTCTGTCACGGAACAAAAAGGCGAACTCTGGCCCGGGCTAAAACCTAGGTCTCGGTCCGGTAGAAGCGAACTCCAGCGCCGTTCGAGTGCAGTGTGAATGTAAACAGACCAGACCTCACTCCACAGGGTAAACAAACACGCATTGCTCTTACCTTATATGGAGCTGCCAGCTGCCTTGTGTGGAAAAACAATATTCTCCATGGTCTTCTGTCTCATCTTCTGCTCATGCTAAGTCCATTTTTGAAAAATGACAAAATATAACTCCTAAAACTGCTAAAACTTGATGCCACTTCGTTTTTATTTTTATTTACAGAAGAAGAAGAAGACGTGTCTTCAGAAGTTTTTGTGTCGTTTCTTTCAGTAGTTCTTGGTGCAGCGCCCCCACAGGCGAGTGGGGGAACAGATTGGTTCAACAGGTTGACTCGACTGCACAATGCAGTGTGAATGCAAACGCACCAGCTCAAATGTAAACAAAAGGTTATGAATATTGGTCCCAAACCGAACTGTGTCTACCGGACTATCTGGTGTGAAAACGACCCTATTCCTAGCCCCCATGCTGCGTTGCATGAATTATGGGTGCGATTTCCGGCACTGACCAGAACCGGTGTTTGTTTATGAGCGAACAGTATGAGCTAATGTAGTTTTTTTGAGCATTGTGGATGTAATTTAAACACGTAGGAACACCACCTGTCAGAGTTCAAACAGGACAATATGATCATACCTGCTGAGGATGAGGGATGGAGGATGAGCTGTAGAAGTGGCTGCAGATTACATCTCTAGCTACTTCATTAACTCTGTTCTTTTGACAGTGACGTGATGAACAACATGAAAAGCTCTGAGGTGTATCAGTATCTACACAGTAATGTCGGTGGTGTTTTGTTAAAAGAGGTGGGACACAATCTTATTGACCTTAAAGCAGACAGAGCCCAGCCAAAGCCTTAAAGTCCTCCATCACTAAGTACAGAGAAAATCGTAAAACTGAAGATGAACAAATACTATAATGCTGTGTTCTCCATACACTTGAAATCATACCTGATATTCTCCTCACATTGTTTTCAATCCTTCTGAGGATCCGGCGTCTCTTCTCCAGTGGTTTATTGTTGTCCAGACACAAAGTAGGATGCAGGTTTTTCTCCGTCGGCCGTTTGTCAACAAAGTGAAATGAACTCACATACAGTGTTTTGAGTGGTCTCTTCAAGCTCACGTTTTTCAGGCTCATTCTTCTTAATTCAACTCAAAGCAGTCTGCTCCTCAGATTAATAATGTTATTAACTTACTTTTTATATACTGTATATGAATGTTTCTGTACAGTGCCCTGAGATGACTTCTGTAGTGACTTGGCGCTATATAAATAAACTGAAGTCAACTGAATTAATTCCTCATCTGTAGGTAGGAGATGAAACTATAGCTCTTTCACAGGAACACTCTTATTGTTTTGGGTCTGTGTTCAAACTCTGTTGTTGTAGCCACTGATTTAGTTTGGTCTGGTTGTTCCTGCAGCCACAAACACAATAGGTACCTGAACTCAGCACAGCTATTTTAGTAAACTTTATGGTTATTAAATAAATGTAAACAAAACAAAACAGAGTTTTATCTGCTAAATTGAATTCAAACTACTTTCAAATAAACCATGGTCCATGCTCTGCTACCATGGTTAACCAATGTTTACTGCTACTTCCTGTTTGACAAGAAGTTGTACCCATCATCATTTATACAGTTGAGCCCCCTTAGCTAGCTGTTGCTGCAATTAGTACTCAAATAACTACTGATTTAGTTGTAAATAACCATATAATAAGAAATCAACAGCAATGTAAAGGTTTATAATTATTCCTTTTATTTTATAAATTTCCGCTATGAAATTTTGGATATTAGAGTTTTAATTAGCCATTACCTTGATAATTTGATTCTGTATTAAATGTATTCTATATTGAGGTTGTTCAAAGATCTACAACAGGTAAGATATAAATTCTTCATTACTTTTCATCTTGAAACATTCAGAACCAATGCTTTGAGAAAAAACTGTTACATTTTCATTCAACCTTTATTTAAACAGGTAAATCCCATTGAGCCTCTTAACACTGAAATGTTGGCAAAGACCACTTGACACAGGGATTTAAACACAATGGAAAAGATAAAACTTTATTTCTCCTTTTTGTGACGATACAAAGTCAACAAGTGCAATAACAATCAAACTCAAAGGTTACATTCTATCTAGTAGGTAAGTAGACAGAACGTGGTGCACATCATTGTCTTCACCATCACCAAACCCAAAAAAGTGAGGTATAAACCACTACAAAGCTTCTGTGTACAGGTGGGTATTCAACTTTAAGGCAACTGTTACCATGACAACCTGGAGAGACTGAAACACGTGTGCTTCCTAATTCCCATAGATTTTTTTGTGTTGTTTTTATTTTTTAAACTTTTATTATGGGAAAAGGTTTGAGCTGATACGATTTACAGTACCACATCACATCAGGTCAGAGTTAAGACTATCTTTTTAACAAAACAGAAAACATCACAAAGAAACAGTTGTTACATTAAAAACAAGAAACGGTTCCTTGTTCGTTTTTTGAGGAAATCCATTTATTACCCTGCTACTATTTGTCAAAGACGAAGTAAAGTAGTTTTTTTTTTTTTTTTATTCCCTGGGTAAGACTAATGCATTATGTAGATGGCGATAAGAAAAGACCAACTTGTCTCTATTACCAGTCTTAATGGATTGTATGGAACCCTGAAAAGCAACATATTCTCTCTAACATGTCACATTTCCCATTTTTATTCAGAAGTGGGGACTAATTAAATCTTCTATGTCTTGCCACAACTTAAAGACCTCCCCTCCCTGTTTGCTGTTGCTGTTCACACTAACGGGAACAAGTGAAAGTCATTTAAATCCCTTCTGAGAACTGGGCCAATTACTTCACTTGGGCACTTCCTGTCTCTTTGCCCCTAGTAAAGATGGCAGTTTACTGCTGGAGCAATCCTGCAATTAAATATCAGCTATAGAAATGTGAAATACGTTGCTTTAACCTCTCAGCAAATTTAAACATTATTCAAAATAATGACACAAATGATGCTGCCAGGCCTATTTATTCTGTCAGGCTCTCCTTAAACTTTATAAAACGTAGAATGGGAAGGCAAGACTCAGATTTCTCCCCTGGCTTTGTTTTGTTTGCATAAATTTGAATGGAGTCAGATTTCTTTGAATTTGAATTGGATATTAATTAGAGGTGTGCCAATACACTTAAGTAATGGTTCAGTAAGATCTCAATGCAACAGGGAAAAAAAAGCCAAATCTATATATTACAAGTTTTTATAAACTTTCCAAGTAGCAGAGAGTGAAAAACAAACTGGCTTGTCAAGTGTACGGTGCATTGAGACATTATTTTAGTACATGTTGATTTAAAATACAGACATTAAACTGGATGCAGGATGTGAGTTTAATGAAACAAAAAACAAACAATTTTTTTGTGTGAAATAGAAAATGAAAAGTTACACCCCTAAAGTTTTGTTGGAACGTTTGGTTACAAAGTGATAATAAATTAGCATCCCCCCCCCCCCACCCCCGAAATATAACAAAAATCTTTGGAGATTATTTGAGGAGCTCAGAAGTATTTTATGTTCATTTGAATATGTTCACTTTCCAAATAAATGCAAACACGTCTTGGTGATTCGTCAGTAGGAACCTTCTCCATACAATAATCCTCCCACTGTACATTATTGCTGACAATGAATGGGCTTTTGATGGTTTTCTTTTCTTGACATTTTTATGTTATGGCTAATTTCTTACAATTATTTGTTACTAATACAATATACAGAAAGCTCCTTATAAAGGAGCTTATGAGTAATAATTTCTATTATATTGCTAATAAAGCTGCTTTACCAGCAGCCTCAGAAAAGGTTACATACTAACTTTGTATGTAACGGCCTAGGTTTGTTTTCAGTTTGTAGTTTCATCACTAAAACTTGGACTAGTGTTTAACTTTAAAGCTCCTTGCTGTTATGGAGGCATCCCTGATCCTTGTTAGTGCTCTGGCTGGAGAGACAAGTGAAACTTCTGATGACTTTATGTGGTGTTTTTTAAACCATCAAACTAAGTGGTGTTGTGTTCTTCTCAGACTTAATACAGTGAAATCACTTGTTTCACAAAAAGAAGACCTAAAACATTTCATACAAGAAACTGTTTTTCAGCATAAAACATTCTAAGTTTGATGCTCAGCATCGACCTAAGCTGTTACATGTTCTGAAAGTTAGTCACTCGTATAGTTCTCTTACTACATGACATAAATAAATCACCAAATAGTTAACCCACAACTGTGTCTAACTGCTACTGAACACAAAGTGACACAGCAGTGTGATAAAGAACCAAGAAAGATGAGCTTTTTTTTAAAAAAAAGACTGGCAACGTTCTTTGTTTGGAAGTTCATCCAGTTCAGCTTGAATTTGTCTGCTGCAGGCCTTGCCAGCTTTTTTTCCCTCCAGGATCCAATAAACCTTGTGAGTGGTTGCATGAATCGATTTCTCCTCTCTGTAGAAAAGTACTTTCTGATCAGCTGCATCTAAATATCCACTTTTGTCAGTCGTCGGTGTTTTTGTGCTCATCAGAAAAGGGACAGTAGTCACTACAACTCTATAAGTCCAGGCCAGCGTTGGTGATGTCTCTGCAGTCCCCAACGAGGTGACTGTGGGACAGCTCCTCTGAAGCATGTAAGGAAACCAGGTGGTGCTACTCTTCTGTTTGTTCACACGCAGCATCACTCTGGCAAAAATAAAAAATAAAAAGAAACGAACTATAAGCTTAGCTATAATAGTTAACATTGTATTATCACAATATATACTTGTAATTTTCTTTAAAAGTTAAGGTTCCAAATTTTTGCTTGTGACAACATTGTACGGTGTATAAGGCTGTGACGGGCCATATTTGGTCTACAAACTAATTTTGTTTGGTCTGTGAAGTATTAAATTGTTCATAAATTCAAGGATTCAAGAATTTTTTTTATTGTCATACCAGCTCACATTTGCATGTTTATGCTACGAAATCCGGACTCAGGTCCCAGATCAAGAAGCCTAAAAATTAACAGATAAATAAATACAAAGAGATGAAGTTGAATTAAGTGCAGCTCGAGTTCATCCGTCTGACAGCTGCCGGAAAGAAACTGTTTCTGAGCCTTATGGTCTTGCTCTGAATGCTCCTCAGCTGCCTGCTTGAGGGAAGGGGCTTGAAAAGACTGCGTGCAGGATGAGTGGAGTCCTTCATGATGCGGAGTGCCCTCCCCCAGCATCATGAAGTGTAGAGGTCCAAGGAGATGGGAAGGCTGCTTCCCACAGTCTTCTGTGCAGCCTTAACTACCCTCTGCAGAGCCATCCTCTCAGCACCAGTGCAGCTGCCGTGCCACACGGTGATGCAGGTGCAGAGAACGCTCTCCATCACACAGTGATAGAAGCTTCTCAGGACAGAGCTCCCAAGTCCAGCTCTCTGCAGCTCCCTGAGGAAGTAGAGATGTTGGTGGGCCTTCTTGACCAGGCAGGAAGTGTTGGCTCTCCAGGTGAGGTCACAGGATATATGCACCCTCAGGTACCTGTAGCAGGAGATCACCTCCACAGCTGCTCCTCCGATGTGTAGCAGATGAAGAGTTGTCCCTTCTGAAATCCACCACCATCTCCTTGGTCTTATTCACACTGATGCAGAGATTATTATCTCTACACCACTGCACCTACACTACACCTCTAGATGCCAGAAGAGGGGCACCTGCATTATGAAGGACCCCACTTAACCAGCACACACACTTTTTGCCCCGCTCCCCTAAGGAAGGAGGTTAAAGAGCATTAAGTGTAGAACCACTAGACTGAGGAACAGCTTCTACCCTGAGGCTGCTAGACTCATGAATGTCTAACCAGGATAATCACTGAAAACTCACTTCATGTTGCTGCTGATCTGTTCATGTTGCTGCTGATCTGTTTCATGTTACTGCATTCATTTGTGCTCATCTACTCACACAGATTCATGTTCGTGCTACTATTCGGTGCATTGTTTTTATGCTATTAGTGCTTAGTGTATTTTTAGTTTATGTTTTTCTTAGTTCATATCTTAAATCTTATTACTGTTTTTCTTTTACATTTTATTGTGAGATGTAACTGGGATCTTGTGTACATAATCTCATTCCACCACATGTACCACATGTGGTGCGAACGACAATGAAGAAACTCTAACCCTGACTGTACCAGGTTTTCCACTTCCTCTGTTTTTGAACTCATCATTGTTTGTAATGTGCCCCACTACTACTGTGTCATCCCAAAACTTCACTATATGGCAGCTGGAGTGTCTAGCCAAGCATTCATATGTCAGAAGAGTGAACAGGAGGGGGCTCAGCATGGAGCCCTGGGGCAAGCCAGTGCTGAGGGTGATGGAGGAAGAGACAATGTTGTGGATCCTGACAGTATGAGGTCTGTTGGTCAGGATGTCCAGAATCCAGTTCCTCAGTGTGGGACTCAGTCCAAGAAAGGAGAGTTTCTGCACCAGGGTCTGTGGGATGATGGTACTGAAGGCCGAAGAGAAATCTAGAAAGAGCCGACGGATGTAAGAATTTCTGCTCTCCAAGTGGGTGAGGGCTGTGTGGACCACAGATGAGATGGCACCAGCAGTGGAGCATTTCTTCTATAGGCTGTGTGGGTCCACAGTGACATTGATGGAGTCCTTGATGTGGGTCATGACCAGCTTCTCGAAGCACTTCATGACTACCGATGTTAAGGCTATAGGTCGGTAGTCATTCAGGCATGTCACTGTGGAGCACTTGGATACAGGGACAATAGTGGTGAACTTGAAGCAAGTGGGGACAACTGCTATTGACAGTGAGGAGTTGAAGATTTCCGCCAACACCTCAAACAGCTGGTGTGCACAATCCTTCAGTACCCCCCATGGGATGTTGTCAGGGTCTGCAGTCTTACAGAGGTTGATTCCCTGGAGGGTCTTCCTAGCATCTGCTGTGGTCACACAGAGGGGCATGTCACTGGGTGGTGGTATAAGTCTGGTGCCAGGGGTGGGAGGTGTTACGATTCTCAAAGCAAGGGTAGAACGTATTGAGTGCAATAAGGGGTTTGTTTGGCGTTGTATATCCCTGATGTTGTTGTTCGTAATGCACTTGATGCCCTTTCACATGCGCTGGGGGTCATTGGTGATGAAGTGACCCTGAATTTTCTGGGCATATGTGGCTTTGGCCCTTGCAATGCCTGCAGTCAGTCTTTTCATCACCTCTTGGAGTGCTGATGACCTGTCCTGAACGCAGCATCCCTAGCTTTCAGCAAAACTCTCACCTCAGCATTCAGCCAGGGTTTCTGATTCGGATAACATGTTACTGTCCAGCACACTTGGAGATGAAGCCAAGAACAGAGGAGGCGTATTCTTCAATTCAATTCAATTAAATTCATTTCAATTCAGTTTATTTATATAGCGCCAAATCACAACAAAGTTGTCTCAGGGCACTTTACAGAACATTCACATACATTCAGAAAGCCAATTAGTAAAGTTCTCTATCTAAGGAGGCAAGCAGAAAAGTTGAATCTTGGCTTTGGTTCAGTCTCCCATCCTGAGCAAGCACAGATCCACTTCTCCCTCATATGTAGCCACCTCGTTGAAGACCTGCCAATCTGTGCACTGAAAACAGCCCTGGAGGGCAGAGTCTACATCCCTGGGCCACACAGTGACTGTAAATAGTAAATGGTAAATGGACTGCACTTATATAGCGCCTTTCTATCTTATTTCAAGATACTCAAAGCGCTTTACACTACAATATGTGCCCTCATTTACCCATTCATACAGCACTCTACTAGATCTCTACAAAGCTAATTGAACAAATCATTCTAATGAGACTAATCAATGCTTTAACTCACATTCAAACACTGATGGGACACACATCAGAGGCTATGAGGGGTTCAGTGTCTTGCCCAGGGACACTTTGGCATGTGGCACTGCTGGTGGATTCGAACCCCCAACTCTCGCATTGGAGGACAACTGCTCTAACCATTCAGCCACAGCTGCCCACTGTCTTCTTTGTTAGCCTAATCCGTCTCATCAGCAGACGATATGCTGGCACCAACAGGATTGAGATGTGATTGGAGAGTGTAGTGAACTAAGCCTCAGGTCAAATCTGGCCCTGAGGGCCTTCCTGGGACAAGAACTGTCATTTCATTGATTTGAGTCCAGAAACACAAAATTAAGTTCATCCAGAGACTTTCTAAGTGTGTCCTGCACTGATCAATTGAAAGAACACTTTCTTTTTTATTATCATTACTATTTTACAAATGTCTTGATAATCAAAAGTGTGTTTAGTTCAAACCATTTTAAATGTTGAAGTGAACTACTCATTTTAAATCAACTGTGAAACAGTATAAATGATTTTTAATCCTCATTCAAAGTAGAAATCTAGTTAATGTCTGTTACAGAGTAATTATTCATTTTCTTGATCTTCTGTCTGAAATGAGCAGGTTGTAAGTCGGTCAAAAGTCAAGTTTCGGTCAACTACATGTTTACTGGAAAGAAATGTCATGTTTAACTTTTTCAGACAGATAGAAGTAGAACTGGCACCTAAAAGTCTCGGTTTCTTCAAAACATCCTTCTGTCTGTTCTTAAACAATCTAATCTTTTTCCTTGACTTTTAATAACCTCTTACATCACTAAAACCACACCCCTGTTGGGTCTATCGACCAATCAGGAAGTTCTCAGAGGAACCGGAAGTGACCTCTTTAAAAGGTTCAACACTTCCTAGTTACATGAGAATGCTGTGAGTTAGTTCCGAGAGCAGCAGAGTTCAGAATGCTGGAATGCAGAATGCTGGAGAACAACGGCAACTAAGCTGAACAACGTTCCAGGGAGGACCTCGAACGAGAAGTCCCTGAACGAGAGAAGTTCAGAGGAACTATGAAGAAGTCTGTTCTGGGATAATCTCATGACTCCTGAGGTTTTAGCTGTTCTTACGGAGACGCTGAAAGAGTTGATAGGAAACTCTACACCGACGCCGAAAACTATCATCTGCAAAGGTAAAGAGTCGATCTCAACCAAAGTGTACTGTGGGTTAAGCTGATTTCCAAAGGAGCGTGTTGTCGTTCTGGTCTACAGACCTACATCTTATACAGACACATACATCTTCACCCATCTCTCTCCATTTAAACTCCTCCATTTCCCATCTTTAAAACTCTTCTATCTGCCAGTAATTAATCCAGATATTTTCAGAAATATCTGTTGTAAAGCTGCAAGCAGATACCATGGCCGTATGGTTTCTGATTGTAAAGCTAATTAATTAAGCTGTTATTGTAATCAAATTGCCAAATTAATGTAAATATTTGATGTTAAACTTTGATTCTGTTAATAAATGACAGCATTCATTTTGATGGGTCAAAGAAAATTAACGTCTCACGTTACATTTAATCATTCAATGCACGATAGAACTCAGTCCAGAAAAATGAAAGAATCCGTTTAATTTATGGATAATATCTCACAGATATATGTTCATTTACAAGAGGTTAAGATGGGGCAAAGAAGAGCTATGTTAGTGTACACACAGTCCAGAGTGTTGTCTCCCTGCGTAGGAAAGGTGACATGCTGGTAAAAACTGGGCAGAGTGTCCGTCAGGTTCACGTGGTCACGGTCCACTCGGAATAACTGAAGACCATTGATCTGGAAGGCTGAGTCCAGCATAGTGTTGTTAAGCCAAGTTTCTGTTAGGCAAAGAACAGCACAGTTCTTCATCTCTGTAGAAACACTCA